ATGATAAAATGAAAGAGTAGAAATCAAGAATATACCTAACTTTAACTTGGATCTGAAGTATGTTGCCAAAAGGTGGTGGAAAACACAAGCTTTTTGAGAGGTGAAAGGGTAAATTTCTCAGGGTTTTTAAGTGTTTGAAAGTAGCTACATACGGTATACTTTAAATCTCGAAAATGGGCATTAAGATGATGAAATTTTGGGTGTTGGTTTGATGCTCGAAAACAGCCATTGTTTTGGCTATGTTGCTATCAAGAAACTTTCTCTGCAAGAAGGTAAAAAAAGATTAGTTTATCCACTGATTTGAGTTCCTAATTTAGAGAAGCATATAAACTAACTTTAAGGGGTATTTGGTGGTTAAAATATCAAGAAAAAGTAAGGTGTAGATGGGTGAAATGGTGGCTGAAACATCAAAGGACAGGAGCCCCTTAAGGTTCATGATTTTGATGAATTTGGAAGGGAGTTTGTGTGGCTGAAATAGGATGAACTTTGAGAGCATTTCCCTGGAGTATTTGCTGGAGAATGAAAGCAGAAAGGAGAGATGGATTTCTAGATTTATAGGAGGAGAGAGGATAAGAAGATAAGAAGTAAAGTCCTAGACTAGCTTGTGATGGGATGGGAATTTATAAGATGTGATCTTTGTCTAGCCACTTGTTTAGTTGGTTGGTTAGAGATAGGGTTAGTTAACTAACTAACTATTAGGTAGTTAGTTAGTTAGATGTTCTATTTATGGAGAGACAAGCTAGAAATCTCGAAAATTAGAAGAGGGATTAAGAAATATTCTTAGCAAAATGTCTTAAGTAATTTAAGCACTTATTAGTTAACTTGACACTTATCTCAACCATTTCTCTTATCTTAATTGATTTAGACACAATATTCCTTACATTAAATCACTTTAATTCATGACCCATAAGTAGTCATCCAATAGATAATAATACATATGCATAGGGCTGTAAATGAACTGAACGTTCGACGAACCGTTGATGAATTGTTCGACGGGAAGTTCGTTCATGTTCGTTTATTTAATAAATGAATGAACATGAACACAAATTCTCGTTCGTTTAGTTAAATGAACGAACATGAACAATGGTCTCGTTCGTAAACGTTCGTTTATGTTGTTCGTTTACGTTCATTCGTTTAAGTTTTTTTTCTATGTTCATATATGTTCAATTGTTTGTTATTACATTACTATATTATAGTTTATTTATGTTGATATATGTTCAATTGTGTTTGTTTATCTTTGTTCGTTTATGTTCGTTTAGCATGTTCACGAACATAAACGAACGAACATGAACAAGGCAATTTGTTAAACGAACGAATATGAACAAAAAAACTTCGTTCGTTGATCCGTTCGTGTTCGTTCGTTTGTTCGGCTAACTTAAACGAAAGAACATGAATAAGCCTTTGTTCGTGTTCGTTCGATTCATTTACAACCCTACATATGTACAAATACATACATGTATTCTTAGTGTAAAATAATAATGTAGTTTTTGTTTAGTTGAACTTAAATGTTTATGTTTTATTTTTTTTATTCAAAAACACTTAAATACATTCTAATTATGCCTTATAATAATCCATTTTATATTTTTATTAATTAAATATAAAATCTATTGACCAAGGTATAATTTCGTGACATTTAAACGGTTAATCATATCGTTAAACAGATTTCGTCACTTTGGTTCGTATACTTCTTAAATTTAGATCTTTCACAAATATTAAGAACAAGTTTTATATAGAATTTAACTTACTCATCAACCAGAGACATGTTGATACACAAATTAAGTTTGTTGCGTTCAAATGACGTTATACGCTATTTTTCAGAAACCAGTATTTGTTCGTAGTCATTCGTCGTAACGAAATTTATCATTAGTTACTTGTTTTTATTTTTCACAAGAACTTATCTAATTAAAACATGTTAAATTCCTTCAACAATTTTTGATAAAATATTCATATTGCTTAAAAGTCAAAATATAGTATCGTACGATCGTTCCTATTTAGTTTTGTCAATTGTTACAAGAAGTTTGCCACATGTATGTAAATAGTGAACCTATGTATATGTCTATATGTGTGTGTTTGTATTTAAACAATGAATGTATGTGTATATATAATGTAGGTGTTTGTGTATTTGTATTTGTAGGCAAACTTGTATATTTGTATGTATTATATGTATAATGTAGGTATATGTGTATATTATTTGGTATGTAAAGTTTAATAGATGTGTATAATGTAGGTATATGAGTATTTATGTTTAGAGAGTGAACGTATTTATATGTGTATAATATAGGTGTATATGTATTTGTATGCAAACTTGAATATATATGTGTGTTATGTATGTATATGTATGTATAATGTATGTGAAAATGCATAATGATTTGGTAAGTACTTAATTGTTAAATACTTAATTGTTATGAACTTAAGTGCGAGAGCGAGTAGAACAAACAGAAGGCTTAACCAAAGAAAGACGTCTAACACGAGCAGAAGAAAGAGACAAAGAGATGCTTTGGAAAAAGTTTTGGGTACTCCACGCGGCCATATTAAAGGCATCGGGTGTAAGCCTTCTATCGTTGTGTCGACTTACCATGAGGGACAAGCATCACAACCACCACCATTGTCACAACTACCACCACAATCATAGATAAAACAATACTATTTTGGTGATTGTTAGTTTGGTTATAGTTTGACATGTTGGTAGTTTATAGTTTGGTTATAGTTTGGTAGTTTGATTATACTTTGATAGTTTGATATGTTGGTAATTCGTAGTTTTATTATATTTTGGTAATTGTTAGTTTGGTTATAGTTTGATATGTTGGTAATTTGTAGTTTGGTAATTGTTGGTTTGGTAGTTTGGTATGTTGGTAATATAATTTGTACGTTGCTTATGTTTTGGTAATTTTATGGTTTAACTTATAAGTTGATGTTACTATTTTTTTTGTAGGTGGATATATAATCCTCAAACAATGTTTACCGACCCGACATGACGTTTGCTGTGGCACTTGAAGTATGGTTTCGATCGTTGCCGCCACGAAGTGACACCGGAGGGAAGGTATAGAGCAATGATGACAAGTCTAACTAGTTTTAGGTATTATTTAATGTTTTGTTAGAGGTATAACATATTTTGTAATTAATATTTGGTTCAATTTATGTCCTATTATTAACTTTTTAATGTTTGTATCCGTTTTTTACAATTAATGTTTCGTATTAGTTTCTAACTTTTTGTGATTTTTCGGCATCTGGAAGGTGCAGTTTAACAAAAAAAACAAATAAAACTTATTAGTGGTGACACCTTTAGTGGCAACATGAGCATTATTGGCAACACAACGTATTAGTAGTGACATTTCGATTAATAGCAACGGAGCGTTAGTGGTGACATGTCACTGCTATTATCTTTACCGGCGACATTCTAGATTATTAGCGGCGCGATATTATGAAATTAAGGGAATATGAGACTTTACAACTCAACACATGCTTAGTTATGTGGATGCCTTCTTTGATTACGTGTTAGTTTAGGGTGCAATTTCAATAGTGTAGATATGATTTTGAATTTAGATTATTTTATTAAGCATGCAAAATATAACATATATATTTCTTTATATATGAGTCATCATATGACTGAAAGACTTGTTCAACAATGTGTTATATTTTATTTTAAAAATGCCATATGTAGCTCGTCAACTGAATCATAAAGACTTATTCAGCAATATATTATAGTTTATTTATAAAATAGCATGATGTAGCTCTTCAACTGAATGCATTCATGAATGTCAGCATTTTTAAACAATACATCTGATATAGTAGAAGCATAATTTATCAGTTTTACCAACAGAATAATAATCTGATCAACATAACATAAACAGGTTGAATTATAATTCATAATTCTAAGATATTTTATAAACTATTAATGATGGATAATAAGCAAAGATTGAATATTAATTTCGAGAACCTGCTACTACAAGTTTTTTATGATTCTTGTTATGTTTGGTGATTTTATGAATATCACTATGTTATTTTATTGACTGCTTGCTTTTGGCAAGATTGGTGTTTGTTTTGGAAGATGTAAAACGTCCTCAGTTTTTTTCCATATGTTATAATGAATAAGATGTGAACCAAAAGTCTTTTTCCATGTCTTTAGTCTTCATAATTTTTTTTCTTTGTTTTTTAAAGTTTTTAATTATAAAAAAGACTGGTGATAGTTGGTGATGGTGGTGCTGGTGTTGGTGGTGGTGGTGCGGAGATGGGGTAGTGGTGGGGTGGTGGCTAAGGTGCCGGAGGCAAGAAGTGATGGTGGCGGACGCGGAAGTGGTGGTTGCGGCGTCAGTGGCGGCGGCGTTGGAGGAGAAGGTGGAGGTGGCCGACTGGCCGTGGTGGTGGTGGCCGCGGCATTGTTGGTGGTGGAAAAAGAAATACCATATTAATTAGGGTTACAAATTAAAAAACTTCTTACAAAATGAGAAACTATTTTTTCTATTTTTTTTTTTTTTTTTTTTTGTCTTTTGAAAAAAGAGATCAAATAGACTTTTTTGTCTTTTGTCTGACGGTCTCTCCTCCCGCACGAAAAAGAGGTCAAAAAAAAAAAAAAAAAAAAAAGAGTAAACTGGACTGGTGAAATTTGATTGAACGAGTTTGATTTAAATATTCTCCTATGAATGATTACATATGAGTATTTATGTTACTTGAGTATTTTATATTATCTGCTTTTTGATGGCATTTTCTTGGAAACTCTCGCTTCAACAACACATTGTTCTTTTACTTTTACTTTTTATTTGAAAAATCTATTATGAAAATGAATTGAAAGTTTCATAGGTGGGATCAAGTGATGTGCACATACAAATTTCATTATTAAGGTCATTCATAGCATTCCAACTTATCCCGTCGACGCAGCACATACCACATTTTCTTTTCCGTGAAGCAACATAATTATGGATTCCAACTTACTATATGATTATAACCAGTTTGTGCAACGTGTGGCGTCTTGCCCCAATATTACAGCAGAATATATATCTCACATGTTGATTTCAGTATACCAGTCAGATTGGCAAAACAGGTTCAGCGAACCTATGCCATTTATTGGAATGTATATCGCATTAGCATCTTTGTTTTGCATCCTTGCAATGGCAGCTGATTTATTGCATGGTTTTCGGAACAGAAAACTATGGTTTCCGTGTAAATATTTCACTCTGAATGCTGCTTCTCTGACTTTAATAGCTGTCGCAATAAAGCTACCCATGGATCTAACTAGTCTGATGCCAGGTTATGTGGACCAGGCTGCAAAGCTTGGAAGCGTGGCCTTTATGTGCACCGTGATGGCTAATGTATTGCCCTCTCTAGCAATCATGGACAGCAAGGAGCTTGTCTCAAACATGATAGCTTTAGGTATTATAGTAATTACATTGGTTGTGAATGTTTGCATTCAAATAAACACAGGAGTTCTCTCCTATCATGTAGATGAGGCTGATTTCGTTAAGGATTTTGTCCATACGGGAGTTATACCTGTCAACTCAACTAGAACAGACCAAAGCTTTATAGCAAACGTTTCTGTGGGTTTATTAGTAGCATTGCTAGTATATACTTTTTGTATGTTCATCTTTAGCAATTCTAAAGTCTAAACAGATTCTAGAATCCAAATACCAAGCGGCTCATCAAACAGCTTTAAAGGATCTAGAGCTGCAACAACCAGGGAGATTGACTGTGGAGAAGCTAAAGCAACATGTGTTGAGTATGAATCCACAGAAATGTTGAGTGTGAATCCACAGAAATGTTGAGTATGAATCCACAGAAAAGCTGGTCAAAAATGGCAGGAACAATGTGAAGTTGTGAAGCCATAATTGTTGAATGAAGACCCAGTTGTGTTTTTTGACTACTTCTGATTTCCATCTCTATATAAGAGATTATTATGTATTTGTAAAACTTGTATCTAGTGTAACACAGAAAGAGTGCAGATTAGCACCAAGAAATGTAAATTCCTAGTTACCGGTGGACGTAGGTCAGAGAAGGACCGAACCACGTTAAATCCCCCATGTTCATCCTTGTGTTCTTGTTTTTCGTGAGTTGTGTATGTGTTTAGAGTTGTGTGTTAAGTGTCTCGATCCTAACAAGTGGTATCAGAGCAAGGTTTTAGCTCCAGAAGGTGATTTTCAGTTTTTTGGTCGAAATTTTTTTTCGTCAAAAACGATTTTGGTGTATACCGTTGGAAAGGTCTCGTTCCGAAGATTCCGAAAATATTTTTTTCTGAATTTTTTGACCACCGGAAGACGTCCAAATCGCCGGTCAAAGGTTTGCCGGAATAGTGACCGGAAAAACCAGTTCCGCCGGAGAAGACGACACTGTAGCGCCTGAACTCGCCGAAGAAGACGACACTGTAGCACCGAAGTTCTGCCGGAGAAGACGACACTGTAGCGGTACTGTAGATGTACTGTAGCAAACGTCAGCGGTGACGTTAGCAGACACTGTAGCACGACGTCAGCGGTGACGTCAGCAGACACTGTAGCACGACGTCAGCGGTGACGTTAGCAGACACTGTAGCACGCCGTCAGCGGTGACGTCAGCAGACACTGTAGCAGGCACTGTAGCAAAACTGTAGCAGATTTGAAAATTTGCAATTTGGCCCCTGAATTTCCAGAAAATTGCAAAATAGGTCATTGTTCTTTCAGAAAATGGCAGAAAGCAATAAGCTTCAGATTGAGAAGTTTGATGGGAAAGATTTTGGTTGGTGGAAGATGCAAATTGAAGATTTGCTCGTGCATAAAGACTTGGACGCAGTTTTAGGTGAAAAACCGGAGGCGATGACACAGGCAAACTGGGAGACTTTGGATAAGAAGGCCAAGGCATTTATTAGACTGACTTTGTCAAAGGATGTTGCCTTCAACATTTTGAAGGAGACCTCGGCAAAGGGAATCATGGAGACATTGTCTAATATGTATGAGAAGCCGTCGGCAGCAAATAAAGTCTTCCTGATTCGGGAACTAGTCAACACGAGGATGAGGGAAGGAAGTTCAGTTACAGTACACATCAACAATTTGAACTCGATTTTATCCAGACTTGGGTCAGTGGGAATAAAATTTGAGGACGAAGTTCAAGCTTTACTACTGTTATCATCATTACCTGACAGTTGGTCCGGAACAGTTACAGCCGTTACTAGTTCCGCAGGATCGAAAGAGCTCACTTTTGAGGGAATTCGGGATTTAATTCTAGGCGAAGACGTCAGACGAAGAAATTCCGGGGAATCATCAAGTGAACAATTGAATGCGGTCAGAGGTAGAAGAAATAACAGAGGTAGTGGGAGCGGGAACAAGAGAAGGAGTCAGTCGAGGACTCGAAATGATGTGACTTGTTGGAACTGTAAAGAGGTTGGACATTTCAGGAATCAATGTCCAAAAGACAAGAAAGAAGTTAACGTTGCAGTAGACCATTCAGATGATGATGTTTTGATCTGTAGTGTGGAGAGCAATGTGGATTCCTGGGTTATGGATTCGGGTGCTTCATTTCACGCTACCCACAGCCGTGAAGCACTGCAGAATCTGAAAGAAGGAGATTTTGGTAAGGTAAGACTGGCGAACTATGAGGTTCTTGATGTGACGAGCATAGGTGACTTAGATTTGAAGACTCCAGTTGGTCCATGGACTTTGAAGGATGTCCGGGTAATTCCAAGTCTGAAGAAACAGTTGATTTCTGTTGGGCAGTTGGATGAACAGGGACACGAGGTTAAGTTCAGGAATGGGCAGTGGAAGGTTGTCAAAGGAAATCTTGTGATAGCTCGTGGATATAAGAGGGGTTCATTATATATGGTCAGTTTACCGTCTGAGGGAGTAACCGTCCCAGTTCAGAAGAAAAACAAAATCCGGTTCATAGAGTCTCGTGGACAGAAGAAGGTTTGCTTTGCAGATGGCAAACCCAGAGTCACAGGTCAGATTCAGGTTGAACGTGTTTGGAACGGTTCAGAAAAACCAGTCAAGGGCATTCATAGCAGTGGGAGCATGGGCTTTGTTTCAGCTAGAATACCCAGAACACAGTGGGTTAAGAGAACCAGTATTCCATCTGTAAAAGTCTCTCCAGATTATCTGCTTCACATGGAGAGTGTCGTTTGTTCTCAGGATGTTCCAGGATCGGGCAGTTCATTTCAGTGGGAGCCGATGGAGACAGAGAACAGGTCAGTGGCAGACTTAGCCATGACTGATGTGTTGGAGCTAACGAAAGCTTCAACTGGCCTTCAGGTTAATTTAAGAGAAGGCCAGGGTAACTAGGAAGGAGTTAAGATCAAATACAGATGCACAGTTGAAGCACAGGTGAAGATTGTTCCGTGGCTTCAAGTGGGAGATTGTTGAGTATGAATCCACAGAAATGTTGAGTGTGAATCCACAGAAATGTTGAGTGTGAATCCACAGAAAAGCTGGTCAAAAATGGCAGGAACAATGTGAAGTTGTGAAGCCATAATTGTTGAATGAAGACCCAGTTGTGTTTTTTGACTACTTCTGATTTCCATCTCTATATAAGAGATTATTCTGTATTTGTAAAACTTGTATCTAGTGTAACACAGAAAGAGTGCAGATTAGCACCAAGAAATGTAAATTCCTAGTTACCGGTGGACGTAGGTCAGAGAAGGACCGAACCACGTTAAATCCCTCATGTTCATCCTTGTGTTCTTGTTTTTCGTGAGCTGTGTATGTGTTTAGAGTTGTGTGTTAAGTGTCTCGATCCTAACAACATGTGAGAAACTACTCGGTCATGGCAGAAACTGGAAGCCCTCAATTCCTGGCAGCTTGCTCTGCTACAACCTCTGCTTCTGGGGTAATATGCCTTTTAAGCACATCCTTGCAGTTGCACACTTTCCTTATGCCTCTTTCCAATACTAGATCTATAACGGACTTTAGATCAGATTATAAGTGTTCAGTGTTAGTAATTTTTATAATACAGTTTATTGGAGTTATACTGGGTACAATTGCCCCATGTTCTAGATCTTTTTCAACCTTAAGCTTTAACTTTTCGGGAAAATGGATATGGAACCATATCAAGGTCACTAAAGTAGAGAGCTACTGGACTGAAAAGTTATGTGATTGGAAACGTCATTGCATACTATTCCCATCCATTAGCCGCAAAGGCAAGATTATCCTCCAGAATTTGTACATCCTAATTCTTCACATATGCATAGCATTTCAGAAGACAGTCGTGGTGGCATGCAAGATGATAGTAGTGATTCCAATTTTCCTTGTAATTTGTGTCTTGTGTTGTTCCGGTTGTTGGAAGTGTGTAAAGGTCATGTTTAGCGGCCCATGTATCGTGTTGCTACAAAAGCCTAAGCCCCTAGGAAATGATAAAGATTCTAGTCGTTATGTTTTGCAACTTCAAGACGAAATGGAGTTTGCTGAAAGAAAATTGAAAGGCATTACAGAATCCGTTAACCACTTGATCCAGAAGGCTGAAAAACAAACACCCAACAATCTTACAAAGCTTCTAGGACAATCTAGAGGTTTTCAAGGAGTTGAAAAGTTTGACATCGATCGTTTTCCATCTTTACTTTCAGAAGAACATCTCAATTGTTGGAGCTTACCTTTGGTAACCCTAACAGCCATCGCTATGTCTCTTCCTAACATTCAAAATGACATAGTTGATAGCTTGGTGAGTGGTGTGAGTGAAGGCCTTGTGTATGTCACACTTGTGGAAGAAAGCCTCAACGCTACTGATGATCTTGTAATGATTCAAAGTGCGGCTAAAACTTTGATGCTAGAAGTCGAAGTCTACCACAAATGGTTAGGAAACAGGCTGCACAAACCTACTCCTCAAGGGAATACAACTAGACAGAGTCTTCAGTGGTTGAATGATACAGCAAAAACCATTGTCACTGAGGTGGAAGATACAGATATTGGAGGCCGAAACGATAATTCCAAATGCAGGTGTATCTGTGCCAATTCAATGTACCGTATCACTGAAACAATCCTGCTCTCCTACACTGAGAACATTGACCAAGCTAGCCAAAAGGAACTGTTTGAGGAATTATCATCAATGGTCGCTGACATATTAGCTGCCTGTCTCACCAACTTACCCCAAGTCATTGAAATGAAATGCCACACAAGTGCCATTGAAAAAAGAGAGGCCAATGTGGCAATGTCCATGCCGCAGCCCAACTTCTCGGTGAGACTACACAGATAATCAACTCCCTCCAAGATCGTGAATTTCCAAGCTTGAATCCAGATGAGTTACCATTTATTGACAAGTGGCGTGCTTATTTAAACGATACCTTTCCTTAATAAGCATTTCTGTTTGTCGAGTAACGAAGTTTCTTTGATAAAGATTTATTGTAATTTCTTTTCTTTTCATAGAAGATTATGAAATTTCCTTTAATGCTTGTATTAAGACATAAATATGAACAGACAATATAATAGCAAACGTGTTATTCACTCGTTACTACAAAAAAGCACATAGGACACACTATATATATAGTACTAAGTTTTTGAAAAAAGTGGGTTTTATTATGCAAAAACTGGGTTTTATAAAGGGAAGTTTTATAAGGCTCGGTTATAAGTAATAAACCGGGGGTGTATGTTCAAATTAAATATGGTTAATGACTTAAAATGGTAATATATTTTTTGATTTGTACACATTTTTTCACTGAGTTTTTTTTTTCCGTCTACATTTACCCCTTCAACTTGTTAAACTGTATACATTCACTTCTTATGACCGGTTACTCTAGGTTAGCCGGGAAAAATGACTTAAGTTCTTTTTGTTTTTGTAACCATCCATTATTTATAATTGATTTCTTTAGATTTTTTTCTCACGTCATCTAACATGAGACAATCATTAATGAGGTCTTTGGGTTGTTGATGCTTATGTCCATCGCGATCTCGACTGCGTGGTTGCTTAGGTCTTGTGTTCTGAACGTCGTAATTTTTTCATACGATATCGCATTTTAGCTGTCTTCATACGATATCGCATTTTAACGACGTAACTTTCGTCTAGAATATTACTTCTGCTAAAAAGTAATATATTTTACTTACGATCTTTATATCCATACGTTTTTATGAATGCATGTACAAATGTTTTTTTTTATAAAATCGTAACTAAAAATATATTACATTTTTACAGGAGTAATCTTAAAGAAAGTTGTAGTAGACTCAAAAAACGAACACGTGGATATAAAGATCCTTGAAATCCGATATCATATGAAGAAGTTACAACGCTCAGAAAAAAAAACCTAAGTCAAACCACAAGACCTAAGCAACTAAAAAGTCAAGATTGCGATGGACATCATCAACAACCCCCAAAGAACTCATTAGTGATTGTCCCACATAAGATGTCGTGAGAAAAACCTAAGGAAATCAGTCATAAGTATTGAATGAGTACAACAACAAAAATGACTTATTTTGCAACAAAAAAATATATTAAGGACTAAATGTGCAAAAAAATATCAAGGACTAAATGTGTATAAAGTGAGAAATATATTACCCTATTAAGTCATTTTTCCCGGCTAACTTGCAATAGTCGGTCATAAGGAATGAATGTATACAGTTTAACAAGTTGAAAGGGTAAATATAGACGAAAAAAAACTCAGTGACGAAATGTGTACTAATTGAAAAATATATTACCATTTTAAGTCATTCTCCCAATTAAATAACCCGATTTTAAGGAAAAAACCGAGCCTTTTTGTTGAAAAATTATATCACCCAGTTTTCTAATTGTAACCGTGTTTTCTGACTCAAGGACATAACTTGTTTTTCAGCAACCAGATAGTCGGGGGTTATTGACCTAGTGTGGACGGGTTTGGGTCAAAGTTTCTAGTGGGATCAGGCAGATAGTGTTGGAGGAGGTTCATAAGTCTCGTTTTTCTATACACACGTGAGCCACCAAGATGTATCGGGATTTGAGATTGAGTTACTAGTGGCCCTTTATGAAGAGGGAAATAGCATGGTATGTTGAGAGGTGCTTGACCTGTAACATAGTCAAGGGCCGAGCATCTAAGGTTGCTTAGCAAGCTGCAACCCTTGGAGATTCCCATGTGGAAGTGGTATAGATCACCATGGATTTTATCACAAAGTTTCCGAAGACTGCCAAGGGTTTTGACGCTATATGGGACATCATGGATCGATTGACGAAGAGTGCCCACTTTTTGGCCATCCGGGAGAGCTCTTCGGCCAAAAATTTAGCTGATGTGTATGTTTGGGAGATTTTTGGTCATCATGGGATTCCATTCTCCATTGTATCAGACCGAGATGTTTGGTTCACTTCCTGATTCTTGTTGAAGTTCCACGAGGAACTGGGCACGAGGCTACATTACAACACTACTTATCATCTGCAGACTGATGGTTAGAGTGAGCAGACCATCCAGACACTTGAGGACTAGTTGCATGCTTGTGTCACAGATTTCGGTGGGAGTTGGGATTCCTACCTACCCTTTGTGGAGTTTAGCAATCACTCCAGGATTGGTGTCCCACCTTTTAAGCTCTTGTGTGGTTGGAAATTTCGTACCTCAGTATGTTGGGGAGAAGTTAGTCACATGGTCATAGGAAGGACCGAAGTAGTTCTTCAGACCATGGATTTTATTCAACAGATCAGACAGAGATTGCAGACAGCTTAGAGTCGGCAGAAGAGTTATGCCGATCGGCGGCAATTAGAGTTAGAATTTTCAGGTTGGCGACATGGTATTACTGAAGGTCTCACCATGAATGGGTGTGATACGCTTTAGGAATAGGGGGAAATTAGGCCCCCGGTATATTGGGTCATTCCATGTGATTGTCAGGGTAAGCAGGGTGGCCTACCGATTGGAGTTGTTGAGTGAGCCCAACAAGATCCACAACAATTTCCATGTTTCACAGTTGCCAAAATGTGTGCTGGACGATGAGGTCGTGGTTCCCTTTGATGATATTCAGGTTGATGAGTGCCTGAATTACGTTGAGAGGCCGATATCAATAGTGGAAAGGAAGATGAAGATTCTATGCAATAAGGAGATACCTTTAGTAAAATTTCAGTGGAAACATCGGAAGGGCTCCGAGTGGACTTGGGAGTTGGAGGTTGAGATGCGGGAGCATTATCCTAAGTTTTTCGCGACGATTGACTTTGAGGACAAAGTCTAGTTCAATTGGGGGAGAATTATAACATCCCGATGTTGAGGTATTTTCAATTTCGACCCCTTGTATGATTAATATTTCGTTTTGGTCCCTAAGTATGAGAAAGAGTACAAAATGGCCCATAGTGGCATTTTGGTAATTTCAGAATTTGGGGAGTATGATGAGCGTACGTGTGACAACTGTCAAATTTAGGTCATTCTCGGACTTATGCATCTTTTCATTAGCCATATATATACATCATGCCATGGCCTAGTAATAGATATTAGGTCATAATCTTGTAGAAACTTGGATCCAACTAAAATCTAGGACTAATATACTTGACTCTTACAATTCAAGTGAATTGTTCAACTACTATAGAGAATGTCAATACCCGAATTAAAACAAAATACAAACATTGATACAATTGAAAAAGGGAATGAAACCCTAAAATAAATTAAAATCTTCTAATTTCACTTCATTATATTTTTAAATAGCTAACAAGGTCCCAAAACCCTAAAAAGCCCTAAAAACCTAAATTTTATAAAATTAACACCTAAACTCCATAAAATTTATTATGAACCTAATAAGATCAATTTAAGTTAAAAAAAATTAATAAATATAATCATGGAAAGAAAATTTAATTATTAACATTTAACCCTAATCTACAAGTTAAATGTCAAGATTTTATGAAAAGAAAACTAGGTTAATGCATAGTTATAAAAATATGGAAAAATTTATAAAAATAGGAGAGATTATAATTAGAAGAAATAAGTGAGAGGGAGACTCTCTAATACCCTCAAAAAAATTCGGCCTCCCCTCTCCCAATACACCCTTCCCCTTCCCAACACACCTAATCATTTTCACCACATTTACACTCTAACTTCTTTCTCACTCTCTATCATTTTCTACCACTTCAACCACTCAACACTATCATTCTCCCTCTCTAACCCACGAAATTTAGCAGCCAAGAAGTTCTTCCAACACCAAAAATCATCTTCTTCAAGTGTTCTTCTTAAGGTAATCACAAAAACCAAGCATTATTCCTTCATTCTACTCAAAATTTCACTATTTTATGCATTTCTTTCTACTTCTACTCCATTCTATGAAAAGACTTTGAACCACATACCATATCCACGATTTTGATGATGATGGTGGTAGGTTTTCACATATAAACAACATGCATGTTGAATTTGGTGGAATCCCATGATCCAAACCTCTGTCAAAATCAAGATAAACCACTTTTATACAAGTTTTGGTGGAGAAATCATAATATTAACCAATGTTTTCTTTCAAAAACGATTTTCAAACTTTTCAAACTCATGCATGGCCTTAAACCAACATGCATGTGTTGATCTTCAAGCCTAAGATGCTTGATGATCAAAGTATGTTGTTAAAATGTTCAAAGTCATGCATGAAGTGATTTAAATCCATCAAACTATCTAAAACTCATACTTGACATGAATCCGATTTTTCCCAAAATCCTACCAACAAAATGAGAAGTTCTGTAAATTTTCAGAAAATAATTTATTTTTCTCGAATTAATATAATTATTTCAAGAAAATAGAGCAAAAATTCATATAAAATACTTTTTACAGCCAATAAATTCTGAGAAAATTTGTAGACGACCCATACACTGATTAAAGACATTTTATGAAGTTGCATGAACTTATAGGGCTGTTTTGTGGTAATTGCAAATTTGTTTTTGTTAAAGAGAAATAAATAGTAAAAACGTAGTTATAAATGTCCAAAACCAAGTTTTATAATTTTCTCGTCTTCTGTAGATTATAGGGAGTTGATAAAAAAACTTACAAATTTTTCTATGACAATTTAGTATTTTCCCCGATTTAATGAGTTTTTAAGAGATTAAACTGATGAAAAATAGCTACACTTATCCAAAAATTATGAAACTTCATCAGAATATCTTACATTACATATGAAACGCAAATAAAAATTCTAGTGAATTTTAGCTATACTTAAATAGTTTTTCACGAATTAATTCTTATTTAAGTGAATAAAACTAAGAAAAATAGTTAAACTGTTTTAAAACTAACTTTGACATTTTTCCTATCTTATATATGTTAAATAACAGTGTCAGAAAATGTTTGGAGA